TCAAAATATACATTGGTTCAAATAAGAAATATCCTTACTCCCCTCACAGAAGGTGTTGGAAATTCCTTGGGGTGGGGTGGGAGGTTCTCTAAGAACAAAAGATTACAGAGGGTGGAGGGTTTTGTAAGACCAAAAGATTTAAAGAAATTTATGAAGCTTAATCAGAATTTTCAGAGGGGTGGCATGGGAGATCTTAGAAAAAAAATCCCCTCTCTGGGGAGGGTATGGATATTTTCTGGAACTACACTATAATGCATTTTATGTGAGCCTCCAATATTTTTCAGAACCAGGGGGCTGTACATAATTCATACAGCTGGGTTTGTAGTTCTGCTCGGAAGAACCTAACATGGAGGATAGTAAAGAGTGTTTCCACATGAATTTAAGTTATCATTACTGTCAAAATCCAATTATTTACTGAAACATCAATGAAAGTACACTGTCCCTTTAATTTATGATTCTACTATTGATCATACTATGATTTAATCTATCATTTAATTCCTAATTAATAATTGTTTACCTAATAAATACCTAAATAATAATCATTTCTACATTTAATATTTCTTATACCAATTCATAATTACATCAACAAGCAAATATTAAAGTTAGTAACTGACGTTTCGGCATCATCGTGATACCATTCTCAAGGCAAAGTGAATTGCAAAGATTTGACTTCAATCTAGACTTTTACAGTTTCTCCAAATTAGCACGATAACAAAGGCTGAAAAGTTCTTCAAGTGAATACCTTTGTGTGAATCACATGCTAAATGTTGTATAATTATGCGTATAAAGAATCAATATAAATTCACCCTTACACCAGTGGACCTGTTCCCCCCCTCAGGTTTGTGTAGTCATATGTTCCATTTATCACACCTTCAACTTCCTCCATATAAGCTTCCCAGTCTATCTCAGTATCTAAACATAAAGATACAAAACTTTACAAAATCAGGAATCAAAACGGGACTGACAGTCCTTTGTCCATTTACTTGTGGTCCTGCAGGGAGAGGTGTATTCAGGTATAACAGTGATAGCAAGGTGTGTAGCCATTTTGGAAACCTGTTGTTTGCAGTCTGAGGACTTCTACTGGGTTTGGAATTTTTGTGGTGACGAAATATGTGGTGAAATATGTCACTAGCTAAAGCCTTTCTGGAGTGCAGAAATAGCATAACCCAGAGTTTGCTTTAATGTTAGTTTCCTTGGAAAATGTAAGGTATATGTAAATGAAAAGGAACTTCCTATTTAATGCTGAGAGATAACAGAACCAACAGGTTACATCCCAGGCAGGACCACTCTTGGCTTTGGTGCTACGTAACCTAATAGGGCTTTTGGGTCAAATATTTTAGCCTCACTAATGTGTGCCCATCACTTATATATCTCACCCCCCCTCCCCCCTCATGCCCCCTCCCCACAAACCCTATGTCAATGGATGGGATGTTATTCCAATGAAGAGCCACCATTCGCCACTGAGTACCCATTTATACACCTAAGTGCATGGAGTCAGGCACAGTAGGAGTCTAGTTTTTTGAAATGATGAGTCTCGAAAACTTAACTTATTATTGTTCCCTGGTAGTTAGCCCTAAATCAAATGATTAGCTTGTATTTTAATAGATTATTTGTCAATTGTCTAGTCGCGAATTAATTAGTGATTACTGAACCATCGAAGGTCATCTAACTTTATACCAAAACTGTCATTAAAACTTTCGGTCATCTTATTATTGAAAACAAAATGAACATGTTCCAAAAGATCACAAAGAACGGGGAAAACCAGATTTCAAAACAATTTACAAAACAATACTCACACTTGATTTTCCAAATGACCAGTATGTTAACCACAATCTCCGCCAATAAGAGACCAAGACCCACTAACCAGGTCTTCGACGGGTCAAACAACAACCCTTTTACCCATTCTATTAAGAAATGCAAATCAAACTCTTTCCATTTTGACTTCCCTCTTTTTCTCAGAACCGCCATTTTGTCACCAACTCCTCTCGACTCTCGGGACGGCAACTCTTCGGTACTTTATTGGATTGTCATTGGCTATACCTAACATTCGGGTTTACACGGAGATTTCCGATCATTATCCGAAGCGGTGAGGGATTCTCGAACCAATGCACAACATGGCGAAATCTGCGCAGCTGTTTTTGGTAATCACAGCCATTCTAGCGGGTTTATTCCTTGAAGGAGGACTTTCGCAGCGGCAGATATGCTCGTATTATGGTATGAATCTTTTGTCCTCTTGTTATGATTGTTATTTAGCTCAAGTGAGTCTACTTCATTGTTAAACTCGCACTGTGTCTTGAATCGATTTGCGCTCAAAACTCACAGCGAAGATGAATATTTTTTAGGCTTACGGATTTTTCGCGATTTCTTTTTTCCAATGTTACGAAAAGTCGAGGAATTTGACAGTTTTATGTATCCTAAGAATAGCACTTTGTAACAAAAGCAAGAACCTCATTGTTTATTCAAGGTTGCAGTTCTTCAGCGCGGAAACAAGTCCGCCCGGAATTAGGTCGCGTGCTAGGAAGTGACGTCCTTAAACGGCGGATCCTCCTGTGTTTTTTTTTTTTTTTCAAAACAATTGTCCTATGTTGCCACTTGTATAAGTTTTATATATGACATTTCTGTCGTCCATGTTTGTTGTTACATGTCATAATCTTTATAAGCCAAGTGAACTCTTCCAGGTATTTGACGGGGTTGAGTTTCAGATGCAAATATTTCCGATTTACTGTTTGCACAGATGACAACCAGAGAAAAATTACAATCCAAGAGGTGTCTCTTCTTGATCTCTAACACCAAACACAGCAAAAAAATCAGACATTGAAACAATAAGGGGCTAGAGTGCAGATTTAGGTTAAAAATTAAATCTCTTAAATTAACTTTGAGGGAAAAAAGGTAATAATCTTACATATCATTGTTTCTTCCCGGAGAGTGACACCCATGTAAGGGTTGACCATTNACGGGGTTGAGTTTCAGATGCAAATATTTCCGATTTACTGTTTGCACAGGTGACAACCAGAGAAAAATTACAATCCAAGAGGTGTCTCTTCTTAATCTCTAACACCAAACACAACAAAAAAATCAGACATTGAAACAATAAGAGGCTAGAGGTTAAACTGTGCAGATTTAGGTTAAAAATTAAATCTCTTAAATTAACTTTGACGAAAAAAAGGTAATAATCTTGCATATCATTGTTTCTTCCCGGAGAGTGACACCCATGTAAGGGTTGACCATTGAAGTGTAGCTGCCTGTGAATTTGATAACTGTGGAGGGCTGGGACAAGGAAAGATTTGCTGAGGGAGTAGTTGTGAGTGGAAAATTGGTGAAGTGGGATGGGAAGGAAAAATTTTCAAGTCCCACCACCTCTGTCTCCCTCCCCCACCCCTCCTGCCCTCTGCCCCAACTCTCTACTGGTCAAGCATGGAATTGCAGTGGCTAGTCAGTGTTCATATTTTTCAATGCTTTAATAAGACCCTACACTTTCTTTTCAATTGACCTCACTATTTACAACCTTCCACTCCCAGGTAATGAAAGGAAACCCAAAGAATCATACAGCCTCTCAAACTGTACTTGGTACAGGGAACGTTCCTGTTGCACAAGAACAGAAGTGACATCAACATTTTTAGGAATGCCTCACATTGCTACCTCAAGCGAAGATTGCCTCAACCATATGAATTATATGATGTGCTACTTCTGCAGTCCAGATCAGTACAAATGGTTTAAAGGTGGCAAACTACACATCTGTAAAAGTTTCTGTGATGACATCTTCTCACATTGCAAGGATGCAGAGTATGATGGGAAGTCCATAGGGTCAACATATTCCAGTGGCAGTGAGTTTTGTAAGGCGCAATTTTTCCAAGTGGCTGATTCAGACTGTTTTGAATATGATGAGAAGCTCTTTGGTTCTGCATCATTGCACCAAGCTTACTTTCATGTGGTTGTGGTACTTCTCATCGTCAACATGATAGATTACTTTTGCTGGACTTGATAAGTTTCTTAGGCGACATGTTGAGTTGTACATACAGAGTATTCGGCTAGTTTAGAAAAAATATCAATCTTGAAGAACCAATCAAAATCTGATTTAAAGCTGATCATATGAAAATAACAGAATGATTCATTATGAAGTTAAATGCAGAATCCAAATATTCAGTTATTATGAGCAAACATTGTTGGAAGAGGGATATAACAATTACAGTCTTGGGTGGCAAAGTTCAGTGCAATCACTTACACCTTGGTGCTGAATTTACACTATAGGAAATCAGTTACATAAGAAAGAGGTATGTGGAAATTACAATCTGGAGTGGACAGAGTCTACCAAGATTGAAAAAGTAACACTTTCTGACTAAAACTCTTTTCACCTTTTTGATGTTGAGCAGCATTTGTGCCAAAAATGTGTGGGCATAAGGTTCCTAGGCCCCTATCTTTGATGCTTCATTGGTCACTGCTCAAGCAAGAATTTTCATTGCTGTAAAATTTTGGATTGATTAATCTCATTTTCAGAGTGGCTAGCTCAAACTTAAGCCGAAAAGTATTAATAGCAATTGAGCTGAATGTAACAAGTTCACAATAGTCAGACATGTGTGCAACATATTGAGGATGTTATTTTGTAGTTTTGATGGCTTAGTCTAGAGAAGAGATAACCACTGAATTTGATTATGAAGATAGAATGGGCCCATTATTATGTACCACAGAGGAAAGCTTTTAAAATCAGTCAGTTATTACACATAAATAGTTTGAGTATTTACTTTTGAACCCTTGAATTTTTCCCCTTTGAGATGTCTGCTACTGTAATATGACACTTTCATACCCGGCGGCTTAGACTGTCTGCGACACAGGTTAGCTTTAAATTTTCAATGTGCTAACATGATAGCAGTGGATTTTTTGCAGTCTGGCTTTCTGTTGAGGGGAAAATTGAACACACAAACTGAGACAAAAGGCCAGATATTTTGTTTACATCTACCTATGAGTCACGTGAAGTAGTCATTTTAAATGCTTTTCAACCATGGTCATTTTCAAATGTAATATTAATATAGATAATTTATTACTTATGTAATCTAAACCTTTTATCGCAAGCAGTATTTTCCTCTTTCATAGATCTATGCCTTTCAATAAATCACATATTATCAAGTAATTACCTTACTATGTAATTATGCATGTACAGACACTGTTTTCAGATGGAATCTTTAGCTCAGCCTCTCTATCATGAGTTATAGCTATACAATTTCATCTCAGAAAATAGAACTTTATTAATAATAATAAATGACATATACCTATGCTTTATTGCCATTTACTTTAGTTTACCCATGTAGTGCACTTGTTTGCAGATTTATTTTATGAAATGATCAACTTTATTATTTTATTATACTTTGAGTTGTTACTGTGTCACACATGCGCTATTTGTTATCTTGGTATCTTTTACATGTTGAATAACACAGACTTGTCTTACAGTCACAGGAGGAGACTGAGAGAAACAATAGCTCGTGAAAACTCTGGGATAGTAAAGTCAGCACAAAATTTGGCACTTACATCAAAGGCTTTTTACAAATCTACCGCTAACCAATAAATCTAGAAGATTGCTATCCTTGTTATCCTTCCAGACTGGACTAGACAAAGTGAGTTATTTGGTCTATTTACATTTCCTTGATCCCTCTGATAAAATTCCATCCCTGACATCGACAATGGTTGGTACACAGACAGATAGATCAGACGTGAACTGAACCCGGACTGAATTAATGCCTGTCTGTTAATACCCTACCCTATGAGATAATTAAGTCAATTAAGCATTTAGGACTTGACTTGGGTCGAGCTATAACTAAAGTACATGTCAAATTTGTAATTACACCAAGGAAGAAAAGTCTTGTTGTATAAAATCTTATATCAAAGATGAATTTGTCAAGTAAACAGTAAAAAAATCTCATCTAGTTCAGGAATTGTAAAAAAAATCTTATCTAGTTGTTCAGGAATTGCAACGAAAATTTGTATGTAGAAAAATCAGGTCATGAATTTTAAAGTGAGAATTTATTTAGTGATTTATAATCACTGCTTCATAGAATCTGCTAAACTGTCGCTCCCACTTAAATAGGCCCTCGTCTTTGTAAACCCACGCAACTGCATATGTAAATTTTAATTCTTATCATGTCGTATGTCTTGTGTCGGCTCCTTTGCGTCCGCCGTCAAATTTCAATGTCAACGCAGTAATTCTTAAGGAGTGAAAAACATGACGTTGAGCACTTACAAAGCGGAGTAATAAATTACGTAAGAATGACGGGAAATTAAGCGTTCAAAGTTCTCTTAAAGCAGTAGGTACAATATTGCTAGAAAATGCAAGTTGCCACGTTCCGACAGTCGCCTGATCATCGTCAGAAAGGAATTTGCGTCAAGCTTCCCACGCAAGTAATCAGAATCGCAAACTACGAAGCATAATGACTGCTGGAAATAAAACCGATCACGTTGAAATGTTAATTCTTAGGCGAGGTATTATTAGATCAGAATACTTCCGGTTGCTTTTTGGAAACTGGACACACGCGAAAACCATGCGCTACTACCTCAAGATTACACGTAAAAGCCTAGCGCCTACGTTGAACACGATTTTACCAGTAGATCAAGAGGATTGTTCTAGAACATGCCGTTTCCAATAGGATTTTTATGAAATCATTTTCTCTAATCTTGTCATTGTAATGACAATTGTACTTAACTACAATTCCTGAAAGAGTTATTATTTAGTAACTTTTGCCTGTTGTTGTTGTGCGTTCGTTATATCCGGCAAAACCGGAAGTAAGAATAACCTCTACCCTTTATGCTTTGCGCTACCCCTTGGCTACCCACGTCACATTCACTGTTTTGAGTTGTTGGTGTTCGAGAATGGCGTGTGTTGGGTGGATGGTTGGCTAATTGCACGACATTTACTCCCTTCATCTTCTCATAGAATAGATTTGTACGCCATGGCTAGCGGTAGCAGTAGTAGTGCAAGGTCTGAGTTCATAGTTGGAGGCAAATACCGCCTTATTCGCAAGATTGGAAGCGGTTCTTTTGGCGACATTTACTTAGCAGTAACCTCGAATAACGCAGAGGAAGTGGCAGTGAAGCTCGAGTCCCAAAAAGCCCGTCACCCACAGCTTCTTTACGAGTCAAAGCTCTACAAAATCCTTCAAGGTGGCGTGGGAATCCCTATCGTTCGATGGTATGGCCAAGAAAAAGACTACAATGTCCTGGTTATGGATCTTCTTGGGCCGAGTTTGGAGGATCTATTCAACTTCTGTTCGCGTCGCTTCACAATGAAAACAGTTCTCATGCTTGCGGACCAAATGATAAGTCGGGTCGAATACGTGCACAACAAGAACTTTATTCATCGAGATATCAAGCCTGATAATTTCTTGATGGGTGTTGGCAGACACTGCAACAAGTTGTACTTGATTGATTTTGGTTTAGCAAAGAAGTATCGAGATACAAGAACGAAACTTCACATACCATATCGCGAAGACAAAAACCTGACGGGCACGGCTCGCTATGCCAGCATCAATGCCCACCTTGGCATTGAACAATCACGAAGAGATGACATGGAGTCGCTTGGCTATGTCCTTATGTACTTCAATCGAAGCAGCCTGCCGTGGCAGGGCTTAAAGGCGGCGACGAAGAAGCAGAAATATGAGAAAATTAGCGAGAAAAAGATGTCTACCCCGGTGGAAGTCCTTTGCAAAGGTTTCCCAGCCGAGTTCGCGATGTACCTCAACTACTGCCGCGGACTTCGCTTTGAAGAAAACCCCGACTACATGTACCTCCGGCAGTTGTTCAGGATTTTATTTCGCACTTTGAACTACCAGTACGATTACATTTTCGACTGGACAATGTTGAAACAGAAAGCTGCGCAAGCGACGGCGGCGACCACGACAACAACGGGTGGAGTACCCTTCACTGCAACGAAAAAAACCGACCACCCCCACGCCGCCTGCCACCATTCTAAAACCAAAGGCAACGTCTACGATGGTTTATACGAGTATTAACTCAAACTGTAAACGCTTTGGTGGCAGAAATTGCCGAGTACGCAGCTTCAAGCGAAGGAATCGCTGATTCATGTAATCTTTCGTGTCGAAAGAACGCAATAACACCGCGTGATTACTAAGCTCTC